CAAATGTGGACTTAAAAGTTGTAGATTGTATCACGGCCGCAGTGGCCGCAAAATGATGGTGTCGCAACGCCAGACCCGTGTGCTCGTTGTGAAGACGTCCATGTCCAGAGCCCATTCCTGCATTGTCGTTCACCATGGAATTTCTATATATCCACTAGAGGGAACTCTGGTGCTAGTGTATGGGAGCTGGAAACGCGCTTGAGCGAGCTTGGGAATGATCGATAGTACGTGGATATGTATATTCTTCGTACTTCAGGCTCTGTGTCTATTTCTGTGGCTTGGAGCTGTTCTGTCACAAAACAAAAATCAGCGTTTGTTCACCGTTTGCGCTTTGCCACCTTAATCTTTTAGGCTTATCATTTAAACTCGGGTCACGAAGCTCAAACGGGTCCGTTCTTTACTTCGAAACAAAACCGAAACGCAGCAATCAACGAAGCCACAAGTTCGATTCGCTGCCCACAAGTACGAAGACTATGCAAATCCGTGTACTTCTTCCCATGGTTGCTGAACGATGGCAGCGTCTGAGCTTCCTTTCGTTATTTTAGGAAACTCTGTGTCGCTCACATCATTGATTTCGGTACGTCAAACAACAACAATTTTTAGGTATATTAACGTAATAACTATCACTATTGAAAGTCCCTCTTGCCCACCAGGCTACATTTCATGGCAAGTGTTGTTTACGCATAAAATGGCGCGTATTGCAAGTTTCTTTTTTTTTCTCGCACGTAGGATGCGCTTGTGGGACTAGCAGGAGACTCAGCCCATGGCATCGGATCTAGCGTCGATTGTGTCAGGCAAGATACGCACACCCAGACATTCTTACGATCGTATCGGCGATAAGCATCATGTTTCCGGGACCCGTACCAAGAGGGCTGGTTTGTCTTCAGCAGCCGAACCGCCTTCATCGCTGTCATCGCTGGACATTCCACCAGGTACCAAAGTGTAGTTAGCAACACTCGTCGTTACGAAATGATACTCTAACCTGGTAAACACAGCTATATTCCGTTTTGTTATTTGTGGGATATAGATTATTCTGCAAACTAATTGATATTTTCTACGCTAAGAATAAGGTAAAAATATTACATTTGTTGATTATAATGTTCTCGCTATTGCTGTAACTGTAAAAGAACAAGTTGTTGGAATAGTTCTTAAGGCGTAAGTGGGTTTGGTAAGGTTAATGAATCACTCATCACTCTCCTCAAGCCACACTAATGGTTAATGAATCCTTCACCACTCTCTTCAGCCACCATGCATTGATTTCTCTATATAATATATAGTGCTGGACCGCACTCACCTTCAACCACAACCATCGCTGCAACCAAATGTGCACTCAAGTCTTTTTACATTACCCCCGGCACGATTATAAAGAATGCCGTAGTGGTCTATTCCGAATTTACCTTGTCCAGCTGGGGCAGGCACACCCAAATCTTGGCCATGGTGTAAATTATGTCGTGATCTTGGTACACTGGTGTTGCCGTGTTTCGCCTCGCCCAATAAATGCGGCCTAAGAGACTGTTAATCAAACTCTGCGCGTCCACGGGTTTAGCAACGCGACACTTTACCGTTAGACTATCACGTCAAGTAACTATCTTCAATATGAAATCAAGAATTGGTCGAAATCTCGTCTGGTCAGTATGTGATGGCGTGTTCGAAATAAAAAACACTCAACCGTGCTGTGACAGCCTGCAAAGCTATCCTTCAGGCTGATGAAAAACTGCGTGAGCTTACTGAGACTCACGTGCGGGATCTCAAAAAAATTAGTGGATTTTCGTTTGAAAAAGGCCTATTTCACTTTCCGCGCTGTCGTGCATAAAAAAGGACACGGAACCTCCATGGGCGCTTCGATTACTGTGACCGCCACAAACCTAGCTGTAGAACCAGTGGGAAGCTGGGATCTGGCTTCGAACTTCCTCCGAAGGTATTTTTCATATATATTGACGATTGCTCTCACATCGTAAAGACACCCTGGGAGCATTCACAGAGGAATTCATAAAATTTACCTCAAGAGGGAAAAGCTCTGGGACGACTACTTTTTCTTGACATATAGTGGTAGAGCAGAAGCGATAGCGTGTGTTGTTCGAAATTCACAGGAAGGACACTCAAACTGGGCGTTACCCTAATTTCTCTTCCGTGAACCTTGTGCGCCATAAGTGGTTTGGGGCATTTCCTTTAATCAAAGAAACCCAAATATTTCAGCAGGCAAGAAAATCTTTACTCCGATTTGGCTCATATTTGACGCGAATCCAGCACGTGCAAGCACCGAGTTTGATTGTTTCTCAGCATAAACGAGCCCTGCGCCGTACAAGCCACGCGATTCCCCATGAAGTTTCAGTCCACCATTCCTTACGTTGCCGTCATCAGCGAAGTGTCGACGCGTGTCCGGCGACTTCCATATACCAGCATACACACATGTTATCTTCGCTTCTACTGGCACTCTATCGATAGACCTTTGTTGCAGAGTTGCGTGAATCTCGGCACGAACTAGATCATCGAACGAAGTGCAACCCATCGACGAGAGGCGACAAAACGACCGATCCCGTTGGAAGGCTTCTGGAAGCGCCTCAAGCAACATCGCCACTGCCCCTTGCGTCCCTGCAAGGATCGATTTCGCCGGCGCCTACGCAGGCGCACGGCAGTGACGTGCTGCACGAATCTCTGGAGGGCGTGACGAGATGTTCTCACGGATCTCTGATACCAAGCGCCTCCACCACGAACCTGATTCCGACTCCTGCAGTGGTGCCCGCGACGACCGTGTCTTCGCCTGGGGTTACCAGGAACACGAGAGACACGTGTTCCGTGAAACGTGAGGATCGCCTGCCCGGACGACGCGATGACAACAAGGACGCGACAAACTCGTCCATAGCGCTAACGGCTACGAATGGTGATGTCAATTTGATAGGCAGGTGTCGTCGTACCGATGGAACAGTCAATCTAGAAAGCGAAGGTGCGCCTACGATCATCTCTGCTGTGGCGCCGCTTAGCGAGGCGGGTGCGCAAGCATCAGCGACTACCGACCAGCAGCCTGACACTGCCCTGGGGGACATGGCCTATCCACCAACTATGCTGGAAAGGCTCCTGAACCCGCTAAGGAAGCGGGCGCACTTCGGATCGGTCACACACAGGGTATGTGCGACTTTCAAGTGCTTGCTGTGGTGCACTTCCTGTGCTATGTACAGTTGCACGCTATAGTTTTCCCTTTAAAATTTTGAAGATGCACCATAAAGGGCGAAGACTTCTCAACCACTCCCAAGTCCCCTCCGCCACTCTTCAAACCACTCAATTCTACGACCGAAAATCTTTATTTTGCCTTTGCGTTACTCCGTCATGCAATTTTTCATATGTTCCCTTCTATATATATGCACACTCCCTCGTGTTTTAGAGACAATATGTGCATGCTCGTTTTCACTAGTGTAGTTTTACTCATACATTGTACTACATAGGACCTGTGAAGTGATTTTAATGAATAACCACATATATATTTATAGTTGCGAAGACCTTTCACAAGAGTCAGCGCATGTCTTGTTACTTTCATAGACAAGGTATCTCTCATGACGTCATTCGACTTAACGCAACAGTACATTTTTGTCCATGAAATCATACGTTGACTTCACTTTCATCATTTCTGTCCATTTCTTTGTCTAAAATGTTGTGCCTGACAATTTCGAAGCATATTATTACGTATATTCATCACTATATTTTTGTTTTATTTTGACTATCGGCCTATATTCGTGCAAGTATGCTAAAGTACGTTTGCTGTCCCGGGAGTGTACCTGAGTAACCACATACAAAGGTTGCCATTTGTCTTTAGCACTGTATGTCGGGCGAGTTGGTGCGGGAACATCATCTAACGAAAGTCCCAGAACAAGGCACAAGGCTCGTATGTGTCGTCTTTCCTTGTGCCATTACCTCCTGCACAGTTTGTTAGCACTCATTCATTTTGCCTTTTCTCGGATTCACCGCCTTGCATTCACACGTGCGCAGCTACTGTCGCCTCGTTCGACGACGACCTTGACTGCTACGCCCCATAAGAACAGGTCCTGGAGCTTTTCGGCCGACGACAAGTGGCCGCAGATCACTGTGGTCACCACCTTGGCCATTGCCGCGACGCTGGTATTGTACTCGCTGCTCCACGGAACGACCGGAAGCGGTGGTGGTGACACATCCGGTAACAGCCCGACCCTCTGCCAGACCACCGACTGCATTCAGCACGCCGACTTGTTCGCCCATTGGCTGAACACCAGCATCGACCCGTGCGAGGACTTCGCCGCGTTTGTCTGCTCCGCGTGGAGTCACAGGGCGCAATACCGCCGTGGTGAGTCGATGTCGGTGCGCCAAGAAGTCGTGCTCGACTTCACCGAGACACTGGCGGAGACCATTGGTGCTGGCATGACGTAAGTACGAGTGCGGGCAATGGGGGTGCCTTTTATATGCGCTGATTCGCGCAGAAGTAATCTGACAGGGTTCCGTTTGTAAATGCGTTCTCGCTGGTTTTGTTTCAGTATGGGAACGCCACCTAACGACCACGTCAGGCGCATCACCAGAAATTCCCCTACTTCGTTAAATGCACTGTCTCTAGGCCTCCCTGAAATCTAATGTGCCTCCCTATCTTCTCCCCACCTCTTGCCGCACCAGAAAGCTGGCCCTTTATATTTTTCCGATGAGCCCCTGCTTCTCTGATGTACTTCTCTCAACGTAGATGCCACCCTGAACAGATTAAGGCTGTGTCAATCAGGCCTACTTTACATTGCAGGCTTTTTGCGCACGCCTGCTCAGTTAGACTCAAGAAGCGATATCAGTCATCGATGCCTGTCACTGAGCATGGCTCTTTGACGGACGCTTCGACTACGTAGCATTTTTATCGGCCTTAAAGGAGCACTTACACGGTAAAAACCCCCAAAGGAACACTTTTGTTTCCATAATGTGCCCTATCAGTCGCTTTCGACACACCGGAGCCATACAATGTGTATAAAGTATTTTATTTTTGTTTTTAGGTTTTTGTCACTCAGCATCAGCAACAAAGACCCTTAGCAACGAACATAATTCAGATGTCAAGAAAGCCCACTGGGTTTGCAAAATTTGCGTCCCGCATGCAGGGTATAAGAGAGAGAGAGAGAAGAAATGGTAGAGAAGGAAAGGCAAGGAGGTGGACCAGTACAGGAAAGGAGGTTTGCTACCCTACACGTGGTAACGCGAAGTGGGAAAGGGAGAGAGGAAAGAGTGCCATAGTCTGTGTACGACAATTCACTCGTCATTTCTTTTTCGTGAACCATGCGCGACTGAGAGCAAATTGACAGTCGTTGCTAATAGGTCGCGAGTTTCAGTCTTCGTTACGTCATCCTCGTGGTGACACGTCACTGTGAAGGCCCCCCCCCTTTTGATACCGAAATTGCTGTTTTAAGGTACTGGTATCAAATATATATTGACTGCATTCCCAAGCAGAATACGACACTCTTATTGGGGCTATCGATACCCGTGTTTTTATTTGAAGCGAAAAGCCGAAAATATTCAAAATTTGTGTCTGCACTTGTTTGACAATTTTAGACGGGCCTGTGGAGCCAGACAAATATGTGGCTGAATTTTCTGGCTTTTTAAGTGACTCTGATAGGCAGGATGCTTAGGATTCGGCATTATATTGCTGGCAAAAATGGTTGAAAAATCTGTCGTACTTTTCTCTGTTACAGTTAGTAAATATTGTTTAGAAACATTTTATAGGTATGCTCGCGAGATTTATTTGCCACCAGAAACTACAACAGACTCATCAAGCTGCTAACGCGTTTTGTGAAAACTATGTTGAATATTATTTGAAATCACTGAGATGTCCTTTCAGGTGTTAGGGGCAGCGTAGGAATGTTGAATCATCAAAGTACTGCATGACTTGGAACTGAACGTTACACGTTGTTCTTTTCTGTATCAGCAGTTACACCTGCAGACATGTATAGCCCCACAAGCCTCACAAATTGAGAGAACAGAAATGGATATTTCATTCAAAGCTCATTATGTTTGGGTAACATTGTCTCCTGGTGTACATTAGTGCAATATTTCGCAAACGCGATATTCACCTTGAGAGATCACACATATTGGTCTAGCTATTGTTAGCTGTGCCTTGGTACCCTGTTGCACTAATGTACAGCTCTGTGGGGGACATTGCACGTGCAGGCAGATTCCGGTGGGCAGCAAGCCTCTTGCCATGTTCCGTACGTGCATGGAGGTGACGGCGCACAGCGCGCACAGCAAGGATGTCATCCGCCGATTCATGGCTGACGAGGGCATTCCTTGGCCGCTGAGCATGCACTCTCCAACTTCTGGAACCGCCCCATCGCCTCTTGAGATCTTGATGCGCTTCGCTATCAAGTACGCCGAGTTATTGTTATTTCTTGCTTTAAGGTAGTTGCGCAGGGCGAAGTGGATGAAGAAAAAAAGACCAGGACAAGAAATTTACCCTTGTCTTTGATCCTTTGTGTCTTTGGCTTGGCGCAAATTTCATCTTAATATCGGGCCATCTAGCTCAAGGTAAAGTTCTGCTGTACTTGTCGATGCTGACAATACCTGCCACAGTGTCGGAGCATGTGTTCCTCCTCCTCCTTCAAAGAAGAATGTCAAACAGTGAAAAATTCAGATTACCGGTGAAGAACGGACACAAACAACTGCGTTGACTCACAACAAACTTCATTTTATCAGAACTGTGCAATAATAAACGTGCGCAGCCTATAACTAATGAGAGAAGTAACAATAAAAGTGGTCATAGAAGAACAACTAGTCTATCGAGGTCTTCCTGTTGTGCCAAGTGTATTGCTCGTACGAACATCTGAAAGTTCCTGTCTCGTTAGCGCTGGTTTATTATTTAGTTTATCGTACAAACTCCTCCGAGCATTCAGTTTAGCTGGATCAAAGTGTGAAGTTCGCTTCGACACCAATTTTTTACGCAAGCATACGCTAACATACGTCTTTTTGATGCGCGTCGCAAGAAAACTCAGATTTTTAAAGTTTATTCAGAGCGCTCCACTGCAGCTTTCATCGCAGATGTATTTCTTTGACTTGTTGAGTGACATTTTCGATCTATCAGTGGGTAAATCCCTTTGCTTTCTGCGATATCACCCAGCGCTACGACGGCGTTTGTGGTATAATGTGTGCTTAAAATGAAATCATGTCCCGCGAAATTCTTACATTTATGGACTCCGTCAGCGAGAAACAAAGCAAACGCTTGCTTTTTTAGCAGCATATTTAGAGCACATCACACATGTTTTTTTTTGGTTTAAAAACTATTGGCGGATATCCTAAAGGGACACTAGCTGACACCAAAAATTTCAGTTATCAATTTTCTTTTGCGTCAAACAAAGGACTGCGCCCTCAGGGGTCTACAATATGTACTCCTAAGCGTGAGCTTAGCGTGCTATAGCGCTGAGTATCGTGATGTTTTCGTGGCCGCTCTACACCATGGCTCTGTCGGTCATGCACAAGCTGTCATTCTGGAAGTTTTAGTACCTGACGTCATCACAACTAGTGAGACTGCTGTGTGAAGTCACCAGAATTAGCCCGGCAGTTTGACATCAAGCTAGTGTCGATGTAGATAAATGCGTGATGAGAAAAAAAATTGACCCTAACATCAAAATGAAATATAAGCATTTGCTGGGTTTCAGAGTGGCCTAGAGTCGTCTCTGTTTACAGCAGATTTGAATGGTGGAGTTAGCTCGCCTTCGAAAAATGATTGTAGTATCCTTTTAAAGATTTTCTAATTCACTCAGAGTTCGAAGACGAGACTTGTCTTTTTTTCTCTCTTTCACTATCGTTCCTAAGGAAAATAAACTATCATCACCCATTATTATTATTTCATAAAACACATGGTCGCAATAACGTCAAGCTTATCAGATTTCGTTCTTTTCTGCTACACGCTAATATTTGAACTTGCGCAGACGAAAATGTACAAAATGAAGCAATATTAGTCAATCACACACGATAACCATGCGATACAAGACATAATGGACGTGAGTGTGCGATGTAAAACAGGGTAAAAGACAGCTAGCAATTGATACTCCTTGTATTACACGAACGGAGAGTTCATCTTCTCGTGATGTCAAGTAAACGCACTGATGGTTTCACGAATCGTTCCGAAAAGACAGGAAATGCCAAAAAACAATAACATCTTTTTTCTTTCAATGTTGTTTTAAGCTCTATTCTATGGCCTACGAAATCACGATTCAAGCCGGTGGGTTGCGTACTTGGTCACGGTAGGTCAGCCGTTCGCACGTTCCCTCTTCGGTCCGCGCGAAGAGATTTATGAAACGACGGAATCCCAAATCATAGGTGGGATCATCCATGAGCATTGCAGAAATCTTCGCTTGTAGCCGTGAACTTCTACCCTGTCGTGGGAATGATGAAGGAGGGAGTGTTGTTGTGCTAGTCAGTTTGTGGTATCCTAAAGATTCGGAGGGACCTTACTCACGTCGCATGTCACGTGAGCGACTCGTCCGCGATGACGTCCGGCGATTGGATACAGCATAACCGATGCAAAGTATAATTGTAGATCTGTATTTAAATGCAGCAGCAGCTTTCGTCCAGGAATTTCAGATTAGTAATGTGTCTTCCCATGCACGCAAGCAGGTGGCAGCTACCACTGTGGTTCAATGTGCTCGTGTTGCCCGAATTCGCGGGAGGCCATCGAGCGGTTTTGATCGCGGACAACCCGCAGATGCATGGCTGGGAGGCCAGGCACAAGGGGCTCGAGGCAACCAATTCCACATTCGAGTACTGGAGCGCTCACTACGAGGCACTGACACCACCAGGCAACGCACAAACACCGCAACCACCTTCCCGTTCACAATGTGAAGAGGTAAGTAAGCGACCTTCGTCAAGGTGAAACTACGGGCCGTTGTGATGGACTATTGTAGTAGGTTCTATCAGTGGATCTTTGTTTCGGAGAGTCCGCCTCGGTGGATCAGTGGCTACGGTGCTCGGCGGCTCACCCGAAGGTCGCTGGTTCGATGCCGGCCACTGCGGTCGAATTTCGATAAGAGGTGAAATGGTAGACGCCCGCGTACTGTTGTGCGATGGAAGTGCACGCTAAAGAACACCAGATGGGTAAAACCTGCGGAGCACTCCACTACGGTGTCTCTCATAATCGTATCGTGGTTTCGAGACGTAGAACCCCAGATAATATTATTATTCTGGGTCGAGGAAATTGAGAAAGGGGTGGGCGCTTCGCTTTAGTAAAACACGAGAGCGTATCATCCGCATATGCTTCCTCTACAGTCCAGATAAGCGATAGAGATATTTTTATAGAACTTGCAGCACATTGAACTCCGAAGGAAACGGGATTTACTTAAAATACATTGCGCAACCTTTGTAGATTGTCTGGAACAGCGTAATGGTACTCCTTGGATCTAAATTACCTAAAGTGATCGACAATATTTCAAAGAAAATAGAAATAATTGATTGGCCTAAGTAAAGTTCTCCAAATGACTAATTTCTGACTGTAAGATATATATTGTAAATTATAAACCGAAGGATCCACCGCTAGGGGACCGTATCCACCAGACGCGTCCTGCATGGGCTCCTGCTTTTCGTGCTTTTCAACCCGAAACAAGACCAGTGACGAACCCAAGAGTTTCACAGCCTCAACCACCAAGAAACGAGGATTCGGAGGACACTAGCTCCTTTTGGGTGAGTGCATCCTGTCTCAAGATATGAGACTTGATTCCCGACAAGCGCACGTCCAGTTTATTAAGCCTGACGCCAAGTTCGTTCCTGAGCAAAGCTGCGTGGCGCGTGCACCACGCGCTCAGGCATACCTGACGGCATGCACGAGCGCTCGCACTTGCCGCGTGAAGAGCTCTTACAATGAGCTGAGAAGCAGCCGCAGCAAGCGAAATGCAAAGAAACTAGCAAGACGAAAAAAATGCAATGCAAACTGACCCAGCGGAGGCAAACGAAACAACAGAAAATTTGTGGACCTATGACGCTGGCAGTGGCAGAACAATTGAAACAGGAAAGCGCTTGGATCACGAGAAATAGGAAAGACAGGAAGGCTGCCGCCAATCCAAGGACACCGGCCAACCAACCAACAGAGAAGCCACCTATCACAGAGCAGACGCTAAAGTCATCACCATTGCAGCAACAACGCAGGCCCAAGATACACCTCTGCCGCTCGATGACTTTAAGATCGTCTACCGCCCGAAAGCAGGTCTTGACCTCGCCAAATAGGACACCGACGCTGTCATGCATGCCATCAGCAGAGTGAGTGGACTATCGGAGCAAGAGTTTAACGACAAGGTACACGTACATGTCCAGAGAACGGAAAACTTATTCATCGCCAGCACCGCCACGAATGAAGACGCAAAGCTAGTAAACATCGAGAAAATACAGCTTGGAGGCAATTTCTACAATGTGAATGGCAACATACGCACTCCTGACGACGTCTCCAGTGGCGTCATCAATGGCGTAATACCTGGAACAAGCACCGCAGAACTCATGGCTGGAATCCGCACACCGGCAAGATACACCGTTCTTCACGCCCGAATGCTGGGTCAATCGTCCGCGGCAGTTGTATTCTTCGAAGGACCACATGTTCCCTTCTACAAAATCTTCCAGAGCGTAGACTTCCGATGCAGACCATATCGCAAGTCCGTTAAATACTGCCGAACCTGTGGCAACACGCGACACCGTCAAAACATCTGTCCAAGGCCTATCCCAGATTTCTGCTACAAATGTGGCAACGCTGGACAAATGCAGGGACATGAGTGCAAGCCCACTTGCAAGATCTGCGGAGAAGGGCACGAAACTGCAAGTAAAGAGTGCAAGAGGAGACTAAAGCCAAATCCACCATCCTCAATATAAGACAACAGCACCTCAACAGGATACAGGAAATAGACAACCACTGGAGCTCCATTGGACAAGAGTTCACCGAGCTTGCCACCTCTGTAGCTAGATCAAGCACTATCAGAGCCAGCTTTCCAGGAGCAGCAAATTCAAGTCCATCTTGCGATCTACTTCACGCTCCCGCTCTAGTAGGCGCTCGCCATCAGCCAAACGAACACGCTACGCTGCCGTGGTAAGTGACTCGAGTGGTAGCCGCAGCTTGACCTCTACATCGCCGGAAACCGCATCCATAGAGGCCCTCGAAGATAGACAGCAAAACCAGCAAAGGAAGCTTCAGAGTCAGCACAGCCAATTGCAAAACTAACAAAGCCTTATTGACAAGCTGCTACACAGTCAAAAAAGACAATAAGAGCTCATAGACAAAATACATTAAAAATGCAAGCAGCAACAAAAAATTTCTGAAAATGTGCAACAACAATGCCTAGTGGTAGAAGACACAAGCTCGCAGCCGGGGAAGATGCCGCCTAAGGCGGACGTTCATGCTCTTGTGGATGCCAGGTGCACAATATTGCCGGAAACTTTCATGACAAACATCCATGCCACCATGGAAAAGATTGTCCAATCAGCAATCGAAAAAAAACGGCCGCCAGCTTCGAACACAGAATTACCATGTTAAATGCCAAGATTGACGGGATCGCTGCACAATTCAACAGTTTTATTGCACACGGGAAGAAAACTTACGTCACCATGGCACAGCTCGACACCTTCGGAAACTCACGCCAACTCAATGGTAAAAATGCGCGGGCGAACAGCCACAACGCCTCTCGCTCAGTCTCACCCGCTCGTGATCGCCGACGGGACAATCGAAGATGGCGAGCCATTACCATGAGTTAAAAACACAGCAATCAACTTTACGCATATGGCAATGGAACTGTAGATCGAACCGTCCACGACATACGAGCCTTCAAGAATTCATCAAGTCTAACCAACACCACATCATCGCACTCCAGTAAACCAACACCCAGGACGTCCGTCTGCAAGAATACATGACCTGTGCACAAGTCCAACACACTGCCATTCTCGTCAAGAAAACTCTTTCAGCGCAAAAACATGACGTTGAGCAAACACAGACGGAGCACACCTTCGTAGAACTTCTGCCAGAACGAAAGACGCAGAAAATTCTATTCATAGCCAACGTGTAGAGCCCCCCTCGAGACCAACTACCAGATTTCGATCACTTCGAACGAGAACTCAGGAAGCGCACAAAAGGCCACCAGATCGTCATAGTGGGATGCTTCAATGCCTCACACACGACATGGGGCTATCATATCACCACGAATAAAGGCTTTAGGGTGCACGATATCGCCCAGCACGACGGACTAACATAGTGAAACGACCCTCTCCACAAGACGAGAATCGGGAACAGCGTCTCCAGGGACACCGATCCCGATCTCACCTTCACGGTGAACGTCACCCGGGCAGAGTGGAGTGTGGTACCAGAAACCTTAGGCAGCGATCACCATATCCTCACACTTGACGTAGCGGACACTCGACGCAGACCAAGACAGGAATAGCGCTTAATGGCATGAAATTTCTACACGGATGACCTCGCTGTTGAAATCACTATAGCTGACATAGAAGAGTGGTTCAATTATGTTCTAGATACATCCTAACGACGCACTAAAAACATACAACTCAACAGCGATATGCCCGCAGTCGACACCCATCTTTTCCACCTCTGGGAGGCTAGGAGTGGACTTCTCAGGAGGTGGAAGCGGCAAACGCTTAACAGGAAGCTTCAGCAACGCATCGCTGTCCTCACCAGGCAAAGTCTAGATTATGCCAACCAACTGGCCAGGCAGAACTGGCACGCTTTTTGTGACAAGCTACAGGGAACTCTCAGCACCAAAAAAAAACCTGGTACCTGCTACGCTCTCTTATGGGCACACAACCCTCCAAAGCGGCACAGAAGCAGCATCTTCACAAGCTTATTCACAACTACGCTGGATCGGAAGAACATCTCCTTCAAGAATTGGTGAAAAAGCTTTGCGGAGACGCACCCGCTGTCGCGTTATTTAACACCAAGGAATATGTGGGAAAACCAAACCCTGACCTTTACCGGCCCTTTATGCAAGGGGAAGTTTACGCGGCCCTATCGAAGTTGACAAGAAATACCAGCCCCGGAAAAGACCGAATTGTCAACAAACTCTTGCGAAACATACCGCACCAGGCCACCACAGCTCTTCTCCAATATTACAACTGTTGCTGGGAGAAAGAAGAGTTGTCTGGAGTTTGAAAACACTCGGAGATCACCATGATTCTCAAGCCTAACAAACCTATCAGCATTGAGAACTTGCGCCGATGTTCCTCCCTCGTGTGCGGGAAAGCTTTTTGAGCATATGGTACATGACCGCTTGACCCTGTACCTAGAACTGAATGGGCACCTACCAGATACGACGTTCGGCTTCAGACAGCACCTCTAGATGCAGGACGTGCTTCTACTACTTAAAGAAGACCTTCTTGATCAACTCAGTCATGGAACCAAGTACTCAATACTCGGAGTCGATGTCAAGGGGGCCTTCGAAAACTTAAGCCATGACGCGATCCTCACGAACCTTAAAAGAACCGGCTGCAGCATTAGAACCTACACGTATGTCCGAAACTTTCTGATGGACCATACAGCAACTTTGGACATCTGAAACATCCGCAGCAAAAGCTTCCAACTACCTAAAAGAGGTACGCCACAGGGTTCGGTCATATCAGCGCTACTGTTAAACGTGGCCTTGATCAATGTGCCGAAGGTTCTCGATAAAATACCAGATGTACGGCACGCGATCTACGCTGACGACCAAGGCTTCGAGCATCGGGAGGCAAGAGAGCTGCTTACAAGATGCTGTAAACACCATCGAAAGGTATCTCTGACACTGCGGTCTCAACTGTGCCCCCGAAAAGTCTGAGCACCTAGTACTCAAAGCAAGAACGAGAGGCAGGCCTCCCATATACGAAGAGTCCGACCCTTGCGTCACCCTCAACGGGACATTTATTCCGAAAGTTGATACGCTACGGGTGCTGAGACTCCACATACACAAAGATGGATCAGGAGCGGCCACCATACCGAGACTCCAGAGAACTCTCTCGAAGCTCACGCACCTCGTTAACAGGATCGCAAACCAACGCAATGGGCTTAAAGAACACGACACCCTACGAATAATCCAAGCTCTGCTCACCAGCCACATCACATACGGCACGCCATATCTATGTTTAAAAACTGCGGAAATAGAAAAACTTGATATTATGATAAGAAAGGCAACCAAAGCCACCCTGGGACTACCACCCATAACTTATACTTCACAACTTCTTAGGATGGGTGTCCACAACACGTGGCAAGAGCTCGTGGAGGCTCGAGAAGAACAGCCAGCTGGAACGACTCAAGCTCACGCCCGCTGGGATGTCGGTACTCCGGTATCTCAACTACAGCGAATCATACATTGCGGATGCAGACCGGAAAATGCGCATCCCAGTGAACGTTCGAGCGTCCCTGTCTATCGCGCCTACCCCACGCAACATGCACGCCACATTCCACAAAGGTAGACGGAAGGTTAGAACAGAAGCTTTTCAACGAAAGTTCAGGCAAGATTCAAACGCCTGCTATACCGACGCGGCCAAGTACCCCCATAGAAAAAATGGCAGCATATCCACGGAGTAAATTATGGAGAATGGGGCGAAGCATCCGTCCGTCCATTCGTTCTTCCTTCCGTCCGTCCATGCGTCCGTCTGTCTGACCGTCCGTGCATCCATTCGCACGTCCTTGCGTGCGTCTTTTCGTGCGTCCGCACGTCCATCTGTGCGTCCGTCCCGGCGTTCGTCCATGCATCCGCCCCTGCGTCCGTGCATGCGTCCATCCGTCGGTGCAGCAATCCGTGATTCCATCCATCCATCTATTCAACACTCCAACTACCACCATCTCGCATCTTTTCATCATATATTCCGCATATGCACCGCCATCCAGCGGACATTCCAAGGACTAACGAGAGCTGGCACACGCACGCTTTCTTACGGCTTGCGCTTCATGTCTACTTTCCACCTTTAACCACCTCGAGTTCATGGTATATACTAGTTCACTGTATTCATGTCACTGTGGCCCAACGCTCGCTAAACCTTTATAAAACCAAGGATGTTATGCCCAGCGAGTATAACGTAGCATCCCTTTCTTGTCAGATAGTGCTCAATGTACATGCTGATGGCTGCAAAAGGGCAATGAGAGACAGGAGAATTCGGCTTTTAGTTAACACGCGCGCTGCGAATTTTTTATTGTTCAACAACGCACAGAAGAAATCTCCCACCGGCACCAACTTGGAGGTCAAAATGTAAGACTGGTTACACGCTACGACCATGACTACGAGGGACGAACAGGTGGCGCTATAAAGAGCTTCGCCTCTAAAACGCGAATGCCGTCAGCGTCGTCGGCTCTCAGGGCACGGAACTCAGACGCAGCGGAAGAAGCGGCAATCGCCCTCGCCACCACCACATGTAAGGACGCCGCGGTGATTCTCACTGACTCGCAAGCCGCTCGCCGGAATTATGTGAAGGGCCGCGTCTCAGTCGACGCAATCATCCTGCAGCGGCGAAGCTCTTCACTTCCATATGCCTGCGTAATCTAGGTTTTTGGACACGAGGGTCTACAGGGAAATGAAGCGGATCACGCCGCTGCCCGCGAGCACGTCAGCCGGGCCGCCCTGGGACGAAAGGATACCCGATCTGTCTGGTAGGTGTTCTGTGGATCCGTGGCTGCAGAGATGGCGGTAGTAGAAAACACCTACTCATCGCTACTTCAACACTACAAACTGGAGTGACGGGTGTACCCTCCACCCCATCCAAGACTAACCAAAGAAGAGAGCGTGACTTTCAGATGCCTACAAAGCAATACTTACATACATGGCATATTATGCACTGCCTCTACCCAACAACACATGGCTACATGTGCCTGCTCTGCAGCGTACCAGACACCCTGGCACACTTGCTCCTAGAATGCCAGTGCCATGCTAACCACGACGTGCAACTGGAGCGGGACCAAGCCACAAGAATAAACAAAGACTACATAATGGAAAGGTGGGAGGCGAAGCTCGTCCTCGAGGACCTGGAAGACCAGCGACAACTCGTCGCCAGGGCCAAGGGGGCAGTCGAAGCCAGAGGGTTCCTGGACTAGGGAACCCTCCCACCTTAGGGTGACACCGGACCTCGCTAGGAACACTGTTTTCTAAATAAACGTTTATTTCGCTCTCTAGGAATTGAAGACAGCAAGTTTGACTTGTTCATCCAGAAAAACTAAATTTGGAGGTTTCATGAATTTTCAAATACCGTACGTGCAAAAAACATTGAAGTAAAGATGCAGCGTTCCAGCGGCCTAACTTGTTGCAGTTTTATTCATCGGAGGACAATACTTCTTCACATGCTATAAAATTAGTAAAATACGCAAGCTCCGGTGTCCTGTCGTCTGTAGCCACTAATTATAGCTTTATTTGTTAAGCATCCAGTGTACTGCAGAAAAGAGCCTTGTATAAACAAATTTCCAAACTTTAATATAGAAAATTGTAGGTTACATTATTGGGTGCAACTTTCAATGAAGTCTCCTACCGGTCAAAGTATGCTGCCTTTCCAGACCAAATATAAACCATGCGTCCGAGCCCAATATATGAACAATTTTAACAAACAAAAAACAAATATGCTGAGATTCCCACATAAATAGCCTACGAAAGCTAGCGCTTCGTTTTGATTAACATGTTTTTGGCACCAGCAGCATAAATCTCACTAAGCAGTATCCTTCTCGACAAACGCATGGCAGGTGGCTTTGGGAGAAATCTCCTGCGGGAGAAATGTTCATCAAGCCACAAAGGCGATCCAGCTGAGATACTGTATGCACTCATTAGTGTGCTTTCAAAGGACAGTAGGCGTTAACCTAAACGCGTATATTGTAGTATTGAGCACTGACTTACGTCATCGATTTAGATCCACCGAGGTACGCAGCACCAACAGCAGGGCTAATGGGGCTGCCTAATAAATAATTGTTTAGGATTTAGGTGCCGAAACCACGATATAATCATGAAGGGAAGCCGTATATATACAGTGGACGTTTCCAAAAATTTCTACCATCTGGGATTCTTTAACGTGCGCCTTATTCTAAGAACACGTCCCTACAGTATTTGCCCCCTATTGAAGTGTGATCACCTTGGCAGGTATTTGATCCAGCAGCCCAGCACCACAGTTATTGGATCGTGGTGGATCGCTCATCAGGTCAGCACATGAGAACTACAACATGGTTTCCTCTCGTGCCGTGGTACAACTGTACTACTGATTCCGCAACATTAAGAAATTACCAGCTTACATGATTAAAAACCGCCATGCCTATTTTTGTCTATGTATTTTCCAGATGAACCATATTGAGGACACCGTGTACCGTGAACTCCTGGACAATCGCCAAGGCGAGGTCAAGCAGAGTGCCATGTTACCTATGGAGAGTATCGACAACTACACGAGAGGTGCCTTTTCGTCGAGCGAGTGGCTGGAGAGTCTCAACAAACAGGCATCGGCCACTGGTTGGCCGACGTTCTTGGCACGGGACCCCGTTGTTCTCAGAGACACAGGGTTGCTCACAGGACTTCGCCGGATATGGGCGAGGCACAGCGAAGCGAAACTGCTGGAGGCACTCGCGTGGCTCCTCGCGCAGATACTGGGACCCATCGCGGACGCGAGACTGCTGAGGTTCAGGTGAAATATTTGACGCCTTTACTGCAGTGGGAGCGAATGCACGGCCTTGTCTTTCTCGATTCTGCGAGTGTTGCGCGAAAAAATGTGGTGAAATTTCCAAAAAACAAAACGAATGCTGGATGATACCCGCCTGTATACGGCAGCAAGTTATGCTCCTTCACACAGTAGCGCAATACTTAAGCAAGCAATAAATAGTGAAGCAGGCATTGTTGGGAGACACTCGATGAGGATAGTGAGGGAAAATATTTAGTTGATATTATGCGTTGCAGTATGAAATCTTCAGCAGAACCTATTCACAAAGATTGTCAAAGCAGATAAAAATCATTCCTCATGGGATACGTGTACACTATTGAGCTTCCAACAAGGTCAGTGTAACGGAGCATGAGAAGCCGTCACCTCAAATTTATTGTTCGCTACAAGACTCTGTGTGCGTATGTAAATATATTTTATTTCTTCACGCGTGAGCCACACTTGAACCGCACGCGTGAAGAGATAGGAATTGCCCTTACAACTCGACGCTGTGGAGTGCGACTCTTGTATATCTACGTTACATGTACAAGAGAAAGTAAAAAAAATCTTCAAATAAAAAGCACTTCTACAGCCAACTGTTTGAGCAAGAGCACTTCCTTCGAAAAATCCTTAGAGGAGATTTCTCCAGTGAAAGCGTTAACTTCAGCAACGTTCACCTTTTGATCGCCCTTGGGTGTGCCGCAAGAACCTTCGTCAACGAAGAAGGTTGCGTCTAATCCTAAAGCTCTTCGCTTTTCCCGCGTGGCAATAGCCTTACCTTCCCTGTTTTCTTCCTTTTTAGATATGCCAACCTCGCCACAACCAACATCAGGCGCGTTCACTTCTGTGTCAGCGAGGTGGAAGAGATATACCGGTTCATGGTGATCGCCCTGGCGACAGTCGTCAACTTTCGCGAAAGCCTGCGCCTAAACATAAGCTCCCAGCTCGCCATTGTCCAGCAGGCGGCAGGAGCGCTGGTCGGAGCCCTGCCGTGGCTCGACAACGCCACCAAGGTCGCCGCTGGCAAGAAGATCGCACGGGCCAAGACGGTGTTGTGGCCACCCAACGATTTCCTCACAGACGACGTGCTCTCCGTGATGTACTCCGGCTTTCCCGAGGACGTGCTGTCCGCAGACGAGACTTTCGCCGATCTGTGGCTCCAGTCCAGACAGGCACTTTCCGACCTGGTGAAGGACCGGTACTACGAATCCACGGCGATCGACCTGCTGGCGAATACGCGCCTGCCATTGGCCCAGTACGACTACGTGCGCAACACTCTCCGAATCTCGATCCAGGCACTGTCCGCGCCGCTGTACTACCCGCAGGGCACCAACGCCATGTTCTACGGCGGCCTGGGCTTCGTACACGCTCGTGAACTCGTCAAGAGCCTGGACGGGGAGGGCGTCACGTTCGACGCGGACGGCAACGTGGGTCTCGACTGGTCTTCGGATGTCTGGAAGATCACCATGGTCGAACGGACGTTCTGTCTTGCGGCCCAGAGTGGCAGCGCCAAAAAACGCGCCCCGAAGGCCGAACGTGAGTGTGCACCGACCTGCGTTTCTTCCTCGGCAGGTTATTTAAAAATGATTTTGTGTGTATATAAATAAAAAATATACACATGTGCCTCACACCGAAACAGTACTAATAGGCATTTGGGGCTGCGAACAAACTATTAGGCATTCTTACAACTGAAATTACTTACCATTATTCAAATTACGTACCATGCGATGATGTTGACATGCTTAGCTCTTCTTGCCACTGAAACTTATTCGTTACGTGATGCTGAGGCTTTGAAATTCTTGCCACACGCACGCAATGCTGTCGTACCTTTTGCTGCTGTGTTAGTGCATGTACGAATGCCCCGCTTGATATGGCAAAGGACACCACCGAGTATTTACATACAATGCATGCACTAAAATCAAAACGAGAAGGCTCCTCTACATTTACATTTAGCTCAATCACTATACAACCAACTAAAAGCAACCGAAATGCAACGGCGTCGAAGTGGCTAGACTGTGACAACGTTATACCGAACATTTAAGCGCCTTTCTTGAGCTGGCGGCCGGTGACTCCACGCTAAGTCCCCGCTAATATACCCGCGAGCTTATTAGTTGTGACCCATGTCCTTCTCGCACCGGTATGAGCGGATGACCATTTAGAGTTTTCACGGTAAGAATAACAGTGTGAATAAGTCAGTTCTGCATGTGCGGCGTGTTTCCCCTTCTCACCAGTAGTATTGCATAACCTCATGCCTGGTCACATATCAGGTTATTGTGCCAGACACTAGACGCTGCACTGCATTCACATTGTAGATAGCCGTCTCAACAAAACGGTCCACTGTTTCCGTTTCACAAATTCGCGCGGTACTTGTTTGCAGACAATCGCCTCTTCCCCGACATTCCGGCGCTGGAGGTGGCATACGCGGCGTTGCAGTGGGCGCTCGCTTTGGATCAACATCCGACGAGAGTGCTCGAGCAGTACACCGAGCAGCAGCTGTTCTTCATCACACTCTGCTACCTCATGTGTGGCGCAGCTCATCCGGGCGCCAGGAACTGCAACAAGGCTCTGCGCCACTTTCCGCCCTTCGCCCAGCACTTCGACTGCAAACAGGGCAGCGGGATGAAAGCAGCCAAGCCGTGCTCGTTGCTCTATATGCCAAATCGCAAGAGTGACAGCGACTAGGGGAACGAACTATCGGCTGTGTGTAGTTAGCGTAAAATAAGATGTTAGTGCATACTTTACGAAAATTCCGAATGTCACACAATATATCGCAAGTGAAACGCGATATCGTCATAGCATGCGGACGAAGAAAATTCGCGTTTGCTTTTCGTTGTTATTTTTCTTTCTTCGAGTAGCACAGCGTCGTGCCAAACAGCAACTCCCTCGCTTGACGTTTCTGTGAAATATCGTAAATGCGGGTTTAATGTGTCTGTATAAGATCGCATTCAGCTGCGTCACTATTGTAAAATACTAGAGTCACTGTATATCTCATTGCTTTGTTGAGTTGGGTAACTTGGCAACGTTACGCGAAAAATGCTCGCGTGCATTTTTTCTGGTGTGTTACCTGCATGCATCATTTCTGCCATAAACTCCAATATCTCAGGCTGCACTCGAATTGTTGCGAATTCAACAGTTTTAGGCAGTCGGCGTGACTCCAATAACCGAAATCGCAGATGACACGTAGTACAGGGACAGTGGCAACTGTCGTGCTCATAAACAGTTTCCACCGTGGCAGTTCGTTCTTATAGCTCACGAAAACGTGATTTTCCTTCTTTAGTTGTGGAATGCAAAAAAAAAAATTATGGACTTCGTACATCATGAGCCTTGAAACTACGTCTAGGGAAACCTTCTTCATAATATAAATATGGCAGCATATCTACGGGGTGAATGATGGAGAGTGGGGCGAAGCATCCGTCCGTCCATTCGTCCGTATATGTGACCGTCCGTGCGTCCCATCCGTGCGTACGTCTGTCGTGCGTCCGCACGTCCATCCATGACGTCAATCCCTGCGTTCGTCCATAGCACCCGCCCCTGCGTTCGTCCATGCGTCCATCCGTCCGTGCACTTGATATGTGGGGTTTAACGTCCCAAAACCACTATATGATTATGAGAGACGGCCGTAGTGGAGGGCTCCGGAAATTTAGACCACCTGGGTTCTTTAACGTGCACCCAAATCTGTAGCACACGGGCCTACAACATTTCCGCCTCCTTCGGAAATGCAGCCGCCGCAGCCGGGATTCGAACCCGCGCCCTGCGGGTCAGCAGCCGAGTACCTTAGTCGCTAGACCACCGGGCGGGGCCATCCGTCAGTTCAGCCGTCCATGCGTCCCGTCCATGCATCTGTCTGTGTGTCCGTTCATCCATCTAGTCAGCACTCCAAGTACCACCATCTCGCATCTTTTCATGAGATATTCCGCACATAGAAGCACCGCCATCCAGCGGACCTTCCAAGGACTAAACAAAAGTGGCACACGCACACTTAGGCTTTGCGCTTCGTGTCTACTTCTACATTTAACCACCTCGAGTTGATAGTATATACTAGTTTCACTGTATTCATGGCACTGCGGCGCAACGCTCACTAAACTTTCTAAAACCAAGGAGGTTACGCCCAGCGAGTAGAACGTAGCAACCCTTTCTTGTCAGACAGTGCTCAATGTACATTGCCAATGGCTGCTAACGGGGAATGAGAGACAGGACAGTTCGGCTTTTAGTTAACGCGCGCAGCTGCGAATTTTTTATTCTTCAACAACGCACAGGAGAAATCTCCCACCGGCACCACCTTGTAGGTCAAAGCGTAAAACATGTTACGTACTACGATGAGGGACGAATGGGGTTCCATTTAATAAGCTTTGCCCCTAAAAACTGCTTGAGCTTGCAGCAACACTTCAATCACCCAAGGGTTCCAAACGAGCTTCTCATTTAGCTTGCGTGTTTCCACGGGTAAAGCTTACAGCCTATACACTTTAACTAGAAAAATTGGCCCCATATCTGCAAGTTAATCTGCAAATGTTGTCGAAAGAAAATAGTCTCGCGTTTGGAGAGAGTGAACAAACATTTATTTGATCTGCTGCGCAAGAAAATCGGTTAAAGGTATTCTGCAGGCGCTGCGTTAGAGTGCCTCAAGTGTGCTGCGGAGGCGAACGAGTGCATCAAGTCACTGCCACGCGTGAGACATGAGCGCCATCTGGCAGTTTTCTTTGAAAACGAAGCACGGGGCTCCTGAGACGGCTGTGCGCGCCCGTTTCAGAGGATGATAAAGTGTAGAACGTAAGGGACGGGTAGGTGCCACCACCGTGTGCGTCTTAGCAAAGCGTTGGAACACTCGCTTCTTCGTGCAAGCATTGCATGGTCAGCGCAGCGTGAATAGCGCTACGGTCCTTAAAATACTTATGTATGTTTTTTTCTTGTAAAAGACGCAAAGCAGAATATATACGTGTTAATGGTGCCCCAGACATAGAGAAAAAATTGCTTTTTAATTGACAATTGCACAAGTATGATCGTTGAACCTTGAGCAACACTGGTGGGCGCTGTGGATGGGGTCGGCCGTTTCAAGTACCCGGTGCCGTTAGGAGTGGACAAACAGACAAATGTACAGACAGAGCAACTGACAGACAGACAGACCAAAATTTTTGCGTCGAAGGTCCCCAAGAAAGACTATCATCTTTAATAGTTATATTTACAAGCACCGATTTTGTCATGTTCAGTCGTATACTAAGGAGTGTCTCACTTCTCCAACGCCGATATTTCGACTGTCCAGCAGCCAATGGCCTAGCATCATATTTTTGGAGCAATGCCAAAAAATTTAAAAAAAAAGCAAATCAGTCGGGATGGCGTGACATAGAGACAAAACAACTTCCAGTATTTTTTTCTCAACTGCTCATCCAAATTTCTCAACTTTGTGATTGCCACCAGCCAGTGTTGTTCCCGCAATAATTACTGATAATCTTTCAGTAAAACTTCATATATAAGGACTCACCCATTTCACGTACGCTGTAATAGTGGCATGTTGAATCGCAGCATGGTGTGTACGTGGTCGAGAAGTGGCGACTGCAAAGCATCGCCACACTAAGAACACGTGTTTTTTTTCTTTGTAATCTACCTTGTGATAAGCATCTACAATACCCAGCGTGTTCTCGGTGACGTTTTCCGATAGCTTTGCTCGAAACTTGGTGCAGACCACTTCATAGTGAAGACGAACCTTTAGCGTCGAAATGAAGCGGCACAGCGCGGACTGCTCAGACCTTAATGTTTTTCCCCTTGCCACTCAGCATTAAAAACAAAAAAAAAGTTATCTTGCTGACGGTGCAGACATGACTGCCACTTGCGACGCCTGTTCACATGTGGGATGGGCAAGTGACCGCCAGAAACGTCCCACATAACGACCCACCACCGTATAATTGTAACGAAAGGGAAAGCTTAGCATGTACTTACATATGTGTTGTTTACACGCCAATGTCAGTTGTCTCTTGTCCCTATAGGGGGCTGGTAACCTACGCCGTACCACGTCGTGGTGTTTCCTATTTTGCCATGTAACCACTGCTGCAGAACCGGAATCGACTGCGGCGTGCCGCTCTACCATTGGCGTCATACGTGACGTTTATATCACCTGGCTATCTCACGTGTGACCATGGCCGTACGTCCCGTGGTTAAATAATAATAGGGAGTTTTAGAATACCGTTTGCAAGCGCTGCGGGCGTAGTGGGCCCCATATGAGTTTTAGAATAGCGTTTGCCTTGCTGCTAACCGCAACGCACGATCTCAGCGACACCGTAGCCTCGAAACCAGCGTTTGCGGGCCACATGCGAGCCGCGATCGCCACACGCAATATCGAATTTTCTGCGCACGGGCCGTGAACTCGAACACAGGCTCGCGTTATGACGCATGCGCAGTGGCAGCGACCGCACCGTAAGGGCTTCCGGTGCGCTATTCTAAAACTCCCTAATATATGGCGTTTTTACGCCATAAGAACCATGATACCATTGTGAGAGACGCCGTAGTAGGAGCACCGGAATTTGACCATCTCTGGTATCCTTAACTTGCACCGACATCACACAGTACACGGGCCTTCACCGTCTCGCCTACCCCGAAAGGAGACTTCCGAAGCCGGATCGTAACCTAGACGTCCAGGTCAATCGTCGGACATCCTGACCAGCTGAACCGCCGTAGTGGAAGCAAGTCCCGCCATTGCGCCCTTTATAATAAGGAACACACCCTTCGTGACGCCGCGCATACAGCTATGCACCTGCAGAACGAAAATCGCGTAGGGCAGAAATAGGGCACAGTGTTGAACTCCCGAAGCATCTCGCTGCTGAACTTGCTATTCACAGAACTCACTTGTCGCAGTCCATGTAATAGTTTGTAAGGACAGGGTTTATTGCATCTTTCATATGGGTAAAAAGGTATACTTGTTTTGTGATTTTAATTATGACTACCCATATTACACACAAGAGCCGGTAGAGACAGGATGCGAGACTGCATGTATAGTGAACAGGATGTCATGTTTTGAAAACTCACCTTAAGGGATGCTGTCGTGTTAGATACAAGCGTCCAATAACATACCGTCGTTTAAATCTCTACGTTGATGTGTATGTCACTTCTTCATCTTTGAATTGGGGTCACTGCGCATATTGTGCACGTGGATATGAAGTCCGGTGTAAATTAAAGGCACATTTCTTTCCGACAACGTATACGTCGCTTAATCCAGCACTCGCTGGGAATTTCTGCTCATTTGGGAGGTGATCACAGTGATGACCGAAGTATTCGCGGAAGTCTCACTCGAGAAATTCAGCCTTCTTGCAGACCCGGTTCAAGCAATTTCTCACATGTAACTGCTTGAGCAAGCTTCAATACGAACACTCTTTGAGATGGGTGACGGTGCATTATTCTAATACTTATCGATATGGTTATGTTTTGTTCAGCACAACGCCTTCGTACTTCAACGGTCTTTAAAACAACTGAATTTCTATGAATTTGGCATCGCATAATCTCCTTCGGGTTGCGCGCCTGAACTATCAATAAGATACGACGGCTTTGTATTGTTTTATCAGATCTCGGAGCAGCACATTGTATTCGTCACTATGCTGTCCCACTTGAATAATTGGCTGGCAACCGCTCACAACCTCACGACCCACCTTTACGCATGCGCGGTGCCTTGCCAGCACAGACTCTTAAGACAAGGAGTC